TTCTATAAATATAAATTTGTAGGTAGTTTCAAAATGTTTTATTAAAACAACTGGTTTTATTATAAAAACTACAGTTTGAAGTTATGCAAAACCAGAAAATTACAATTTACTTTAATAATAGGGTAATAAAATCATAAGAAATTGATCAGCATCTATAATCTATATATATATATATATATATATATATATATATATATATATGTATAATCCTGTAACTTCCGTTAGTCCGTCCACCCATCCGTCACATCCTTTAAAATAGCCACACAGTGGCCGTTCGAAATCAGATTTTGGGGAAAAGTGCAAACAGGCAAGGGGGTAAAAATTATATTTGGTTTTACTAAGGGGTGTAGCTTTTGTACAATACATTTTCATTAATTTTGGGCGAGAATTAAAAACTTTATTATTTAACATACAAAATATTCCCACTCCATTTAATACAATTTAACGATTAAAATAACAAATACTTATTTAATAAATATGGAAAATTGTTTTTTTGCATATCTTTTTTAAAAGTTTTTATATACAAGATTCCCGTTCCTAGTTCGCCCGCATTGGCGAGAACAAATCAAAAGACCAAACGCTTCAAAAAGTTGGAATTTGACTCCAGAAAGAAATATTTACGCATGCTCAAGAGTAAGAAATCCTAAGAATTTATTCTTCACTGTTAAAAATTAAAAAAGGAAATTTTCTTAAAAAATATTGTTTACCATGAAGTCCTATAAAATTAAATAAATGAAATTATTAAACCACAAAGTAGGGTTTTTGTCAAAGTAATTTTTTAAACAAATCATCTTATTCAAATTTCGTCGATTGCTTTACGAATCTGAACGTAATGTAGAGTTTGTAAATCTTGACAAAAATGTTACTAATGATTTTAATAATACTACAATACTGTAATGATTTCAACGCGCGTCAACATATTATAAAAATATCTAATAGAACAAAAAGCAAACATATATAATCCTTCTTGTCAATAATAGCCAGCAATATATATTCTATTGATTTTGTTAAATATTTTACTTCAGCAGGTTTATTTTCGGACATGTTGGTTTTAATTGCTTCCCATAAGTCTGCGTTGCTGTTAATAATTTTTGACACATTCAGATAATTTTATCCTCTCAATTGACGATAGATTTTCGATTCAGATTGGGATTCGATGATGGTAATTTTATTATCTTCTTTAAAGCTCAGAAAACTCACGGGTAACTTTAGATAAATGAGAAGGAGTATTGTCGTGCATAAATACACTCTTCACTTTGAAACTGCGAAGCTGGAACTTGTACCATTCAAAGAAAATCTTGTTCATCAAATTGCAATAGTTAGCACTGTTCATTTTAACTCCTCCATCGGATTTAAATGGTCGACAATTCCGGCCCATATCATCACACTATCCCCTATTTTGCTGCTTTCTTTTAGCCACAGGCACATCTACATCGGATAAAATCCATGCTTTGGCCCATCCATCTGGTCCATCGAATGACACTCGAGAATCTCCTGTGAAAATTACTTTGGAAAAGCCAATTTACATGTATTTCTTGATCCAATTTTGACTTTTTAAAATATTTACTTTACTGAGAGGAGTTTGTTTAGGGATCTTTTTTGTTGACAGATCTCAATTTTTGAAGTATTCCACATCGTTTGTCCTTCACGTCTCCTTAAATTCTAGCTTGTTCAAAGATCTGAGGACTGGCCAAATGTGATTGCTTTGCTATAACTCGCTTTTGTTTGAATTATCGTCTCGAGGAGACAAGTTCCTAAAGCCTTTTCCTTTGCTTCTAATTATCAACTTAGTAATATTTTCAACAGTCCTCGTTATCATTCGATGATCTCTAATAAGCTCCTTTGATATCACCACTGTAGACATTCTCACGCTAAATAACACTATTATTTTCTGTTTTTCAATATTTGTTAGAGTCATTCCTTTAGGCATATTTCAACATATATTATGGGAAAAAAGAAAAATGGATTTTATTAGATTAATATTAGTTTAATCTGTATAATAACTCCAGATTTCAGTTTTTATAATAAATCCAATAAATTTAATAAAACAGGTCGAAACTACCCCAGAATTTAACTCAATCTTTATTTTGACGTTTAAATCGTTTAAAATGTGATACAAAAAAAAAACTATTCAAAGCAGTTCCAAGTTATTAGAGGTTATGGGATTTGCATAATAACTTCAGACGGACTTTGTTGTCTCACATTATTACCTACTTCATGCTTTATCGATATAAGAATTATATACTTATTTGAATCTAATGTTGTTTTTCCTGATTGATGGTAACACCTACCTGCGTACTTAGAAGATAACCGATTCGTTCTGCGCAGATGCAGACAACCAACAGCCATTTGTTGGACATATTCTGAATTTCAGTCACAAATTGATGAGTAAATTGAAAATCTGAAGGCTTAAAATGAACCGTAAGGCGGTTTTGACAGATAAAACGTCATGTTTAATAACTTCAGTTTGTTAAAGTTAAAACAATGCAAATTGCTAAACTGATTTGCCAGGTATCAACGAAATATGAAGAAGTGCGTTGACGCTCCTCTGTCCCAATGATAAGTTAATATATCCATCTTTATCAAGCTATTAACCTTTTACGTACTGCGAAAGCGAGAAAGCATAAAAAAACAAAAAACAACCAAGATGTCGACTCCTAAAAGCAAGTGACAAAACATGTAAAACCAACAAGGCCTCTTTTAAAATTAATTAATGTGGAAAATCGAATGAAATGACCATTACCATTCAGGAAGACTGATTTTTACATTGTTCTTTTCATTAGTGAATGCAAGACGGACCTCGATTGGTCACGCAGATAGATTTAAGTCATTCGGACACTGATCTTATAAATTTAGAAGTCAACAAATCGGGTTAAGTGGGATGTTTTGAGGGGGTATATAATGGTGAATATATAATTGAATAAAATGTAATTGTACTTTATTTTTTTAAGAATAAAATTGATAAATTATTTCTTGTTCAAACTAATGTCTACTATTTTTATGATGTAGTTAATGAAAGCTTAAGTTTAAAGAGTGAGCACTATCATAGATGAAGAGAGTTTGGAAATGTGGATATCGTTTACAGATGAATCATAGATAACTTTCTGATATGCTTTTAATTTTTGGGGGTTGAATAATTAAATGCTACTTGTATTATTTACAATAAAAACTTACAATAAAAATCCTTCTCTTCCAGTTGTTTACATAAAACAGCAATAAAATGGACATCTAAGGATAATATGTTTCTCAAGTCCAGTAGCTGTTATCGCTCTTTTCATTATTGATGGGAGTTTCCTTCCTAACCTTTTATCCGAAAGAGTGTGGAAGATCGTCTCATAACATTATTTTCTCTTCGAGTTACGTGTGTTATCCATTTTAGTTGCTATTGTTGCTGACAAATTCCCAAGCGATGTCGCTTCTATTATTTAGTACAGTTCTTTGTGATTCTGTAGCGCCAATCCACAAGATTCGAAGAAGTGTGGTTTTCAGATGTATACAGCTGACGGTTTAGGTATTTCTGCACGGGTTTGGCGTCATGCATGACATCCATATGAAAGTCTTTATCTGGTGAAGCTATTTAAGAAGATTACTCGAGTTTTAGGTTAATGCTTTGGTTTGTAACACTTTACAGTACTGGGCGAAATTACCCCCAGAGAATCCTATTCTCTGTTCAATTTCTTTATCTTCTATATTAAATTTGTTATAACTGACCCATACACCGAGGCATTTAAAGTGTTTGGAATTTACTAAACTCTAAGTTTTTTTTTTTTTTTTTATAATCGGTTCAGTGTAGGTGCCATCACTGCTTTCATTCCAACTCTAGACCAAAGTTTCTGTTTTGGAAAGGTTTAAGTTACGTTATTATACCAGAAAATAAATCTTGAAGAACAAGCCAAAGACAGATTTATATCAGCATGCATAATTCTAGAACAGAAAAGGGACATAACTAATCCAAGTCTTTCTTCAGCTTCAGTTTACCATAATCTTTAATTGCCTCTAAAACATCACCGCTTTGCTGCGAGTATTTGAAAAGAATCGGCATATTATTCTCTCCTTGTCCAGTAAGATCCTATGTTGTATTAGAGATGTTATTTTTGAACGACTTTTTCAACTGATTCACCCTTTCTTATCGAATCACGAAATGAAAGCGTCCTGCACGACCACTCTTCTAGATCCTTTTTGCATTAATACAGACCTCCCCCAGGGCACTATCCTTCGACCCACATTGTTCCTAATTTTTTTTATCAGCGCTCTTCCTGATGGCATCAGTTCTCAAATATAAAAACAGTTCCTTAAAAAATAAAATTAGCCTTGTCATCGGAGTCTTCATAGTCGTCACCCGTGTGATAAGAAGCATGGGTAAATGAAATGTGACTTGTCAGAAATAGACTAGTGGGAAGAACGTTTCATCAGTTGGCCATGATCGTTCACTTGCTTCTAACCATCACAGCATTGCCGCGACTTCTTGAAAAGTATCGGCATATTTTTCTCTCCTCGTCCAAAATGATCCTGTGTTGTATAAGATATACTATTTCTGAACGACTTTTTCAACTGATTCATCCTTTCTTATCGAATCGCGAAATGGAAGTCGCCCCGAACTGCCAATCTTTTAGATATTTTTGCATTAATGAAGGCGTCTCTCGTGGATCTATCCTTGGACCCATTTTGTTCATAATTTTCATCAATTACCTTCCTGATGGCTTTGGTTTTCAAATATAAAAAAAAAACGGAGTCGTCATCTGACTCACCTGTGTGATAGGAAGCGTGGGTAAACGAAATGTGACCTGTCAGAAGTAGATTAGTGGGGGGGACGTTTCCGAATCTTTCTTCAACATCAGCTTTCCATGATCGTTCACTTGCTTCTGACCATCACCGCTTTGACGCGACTATTTTAAAAGAATCGGCATATTTTTCACTCCTCGTCCAAAATGATCCTGTCGTGTATAAGATATACTATTTCTGAATGACATTTTTTTAAACTGTTTCTTATCGAATCGTAAATGAAACATGATGAGTCAGAAGTAGAAAAGTCATACTTCCTAGTTTTTCTCCAGCACCAGTTGGCCATGATCGTTCACTTACTGCTAACCATCACCACTTTGATGCAACTGCTTTTCAAGAATCGGCATATTTTTCTCTCCTCGTCCTGTGTTGTATAAGAGATCCTGTGTTGTAGAAAAGATTCTATTTCTGGTCGAATTTGTTGGTTAATGTTTTAGTTTAGTAGCAACTTGAGGTGTTCAGAGAAACTACTTCTACCACAGCCTATTCTATGTTCAATTTCCTTATCTTCTATATTAAATTTGTTATAATTGATCCCTACACTGATGTATTTGAAGTGACTGGCATTTGATAAATCCCCATCCTGAATTTTTACGATAGATTCAAGATAGGTGCCATCACTGCTTTCATTCCAATTCTAGATCAAGGTTTCTGAAAAAGTTTAGGTTATGTCAAATAGACGTTAAATATACCTGAAAATAAATCTTGAAGAACAAGCCAAAGACAGTTTTATATCAGCATGCTTAAATCTCGGAGAGAAAAGGGACATAACTAATCCAAGACTTTCTTCAGCTTCATAATCGTTCAGTGTTTCTAAAACATCACCGCTTTGCTGCAACTGTTTGAAAAGAATCAGCATATTATTCTCTCTTCGTCTAAAACGATCCTGTGTTGTATAAGAAATGCTTTTTCTGGACAACCTTTTTTTTAATTGATTCGTCCTTTCTTATTGAATCGCGAAATGAATGTCATCCTAAACGGCCACTCTTCTAAATCTTTTTGCACTAACGCAAGCGTTCCTTGGATCCACGTTGTTCGTGATTTTCATTAATGACCTTTCTGATGGCATCAGTTCTCAACTCTGTATATATTTTATATTTATACCTGTCTTGATAATACCTAAAAATTGTTAACTGAGGCAAGGAAAGGCTTGTTAATTTTAGCGCCTCTAAAACGAAACTTTTAATTGTCTGATAGAATTCTTTTTACTTTCCATCAACAGAGCTGATGCTAACCTCCAAGAAATTGATTCATTGCGCCTTTTCAGACTAATGTTTTCCGTTGATATGAAGTAGAATTATTATCTCGAATCAATTGCTAGATCTGTTGCTAGGAAAGTTAGTTCACTGTATCGTGCTAAACAATTACACTCGCCTGAATTTATCTTATATTTACCGTTCGTCTGTGGTTTGAATATTGCTGCCATATCTGTTCTGGTGCTCTTGCTATATATTTAGGGATTCTTGATAAACTCCACAGAAGAATCTGCAAGGTTATTAGTCTTGACCTGGAATCTCGATTTCAGTCCTTTTCCCTCCGCCGTAATATTGTTTCCCTGTGATTTTTCTATACATATTTTCATGATAATTGTTCTGATGAACTTTCTTCTACCGTACCTAGACTTTATGAATTTAAGCGCAGTACTAGATTGGCGGAAAGGTCTCATCATTTTATAGTTCAGCTGGCTAGATGTAACCGTAAATTCTATGCTAAGATTTTCTTCACTTCTCTCTTGCGGAATTCGCTTCCGGCTTCTTGCTTCACAGTCAAGTTTGAACTTCAAAAAATTAAATGCAATGTCAAGCGTTATCTTCTATTTTCTTATTTCTTGGTCTTTTATTGTTTTCTCTTCTTAATAAGGATTGTTTTTATTTCCCATATTTTCTAACACTCAGTAACCCCTTGTGTCTTAGTGGCTGTATTGCCTTGCTTGGGGTGAAATGATTTAAAAAATAAGGCATGTAGTAAAAAGTGCGATCGAAGAGTCGGTAAAGAATGAGCGAATATGCGTGTTTTTGAGTTTGAAACGTAAGAGGGTTGAAAAATTATCTGCACAATTCATTTGCCACACGTAACTAAATAACCAAAACACGAGAATCTTTTTTTTTAATCCCTACATGGCTGGGCTGAGAATTTTTCACAATTTCTCTCGTAACTATTAATAATAACTGAAATATTCCGGAAATCAAGTGTTTGCTCATGAAAAGAGATTCCTAAAAAAAAAAAAAAAATGAGAGAAATCAGTAAACAGAAGTCGATCGACTAGCGGAGGAAATGCTTACCTCTTGCCAATCAGTTAGGGCTGAGAATGACTTTGTTTCTCCCGTCGCTCCTTTCACGCCAACGCCTCGTTTTGGGCGTGGCGATGAACAAGCGGTCGAGGCAACTGACCCAGATACAAACGTGTAAGCCAACCAGCAGGATGTTCACCTGAACTCGGATACGACGCCCACTCTCCAGGTGTAGAAACACTGAAGACCAAATCGAGGTTCAGAAAACGGAAAGGAAAAATAAGGTAAGTGACAAAGAAAGGAAGATCAAAATCGGTCTTTAAAAAAAAAAAAAAAAATCATTATTATTGGTGCCGCGGTAACAGCTCAAATGTAATAACGCGGTCAATTAAGCAAGGGTTGGCCTAGAAACAAAAGACAGGTTTGGTCTGGGGAAAGATAAGAACATACGACATATTTGTCTTCTATGAAATTCGAATTGGTACTGAAGCGTACAGAAACACTCATTTCCAGTTTATCAAGCTGAAAAACAGACACACACTCACACATACAGGCACATAGGAAATAGAATCACATGGCATACTAAATATCGTCTTAAACGAACTTCATACATGGTCTGAGATCCGTTTAAAGCGAATTACAACCGCCGATATTGATCACTCCTTCCCTATTACGTCATTAATAAAGGTTAAATTAAAAAAAACAAAACAGTAACAAGTAATTTCTGAGAGAATGAATCAATTTTACGCAGAAGTTTGTACATGACGGTGGTCTTTCTTTATTTCAAGTTAAATAGACCAGTCAGTCAGTTATATGGTATGCGTGATACACGAGTAGGCGATCATGTATCTTTCGATACATGACTGATGAGGCAGATTTTTTCCCCGCAGTAGGCTGCCATTTCTTTCTGCAGTAAACCAGTTGCCATCCTGTTGTCTGTCCTATCCCTGGAGGTGGGGAAGAAGAAGAGGATTAATACCTTTCCCAAAGGTATTAGCACGTAAGTGAATATAATGGATTCGGCTGGAATTCGAACTCGGCTCTCCGATTCCTCAATCCGAGACGCTATCTATTACTCCATTTTGTATGACCTCTTTAGCTTTTGATTACTGTCTGGATGTTGTCGGGAATGCTGAGAATCAATTTCATACAATAATCAATAGAAATTTCTTTCGTCCAGTCTCCTTTTGATAACCTTTCTCTTCAATACATTCAGCAACTTTTTTTTTTTTTTTAACAATTTTCAACAGATTTTCAATCGCGTTCAAATCTCTGCTGTTCCCCCAGCAAGTACATTTTTATGAATTTGATCCTTAACCTTACATCGGTAATATTCAAAAGTAGATAGGAGGATTAGTCAAAAGCAAAGCAGTTTTTTTTCCCCCGTAGGAGACGCATTTCTCAATCAAATCTATATATAAAATTCTGTGACTTCCGTTAGTCCGTCTGTCCGTCCGTCACATCCTCTAAAAATAGCTATACATTGACAGATCGAAACCAAATTTTGGAGATAAGTATAAACAGGTATGGGGGGGGGACAAAGTAAAGATAGTTTTACTAGAGTGCGCAGCTGAGTACAATAAATTTTCAGTAACATGTTGGAAAAATTAAAAATTAAAAATAAATAAAAAATAAAAATAAATTAAAAATAGATAAAAATAAAAAATAAAAATAAATTAAAAATAAATAAAAAATTAAATTAAATTTAACATACAAAATACTCCCATTATTTGAAAAACAACTTAATGATTAAAATAACAAATACTTATTTAACAAAAATGTAATATTGTTTTATTGCATATATTTTCTTTATCATTTTATATATACAAGAATCCAGTTTCCAGTTCGCCCTTCGTTTGCGAGAACTATAAACAAATCACAAGGCCAAGCGCTTCAAAAATTTGGAATTTAGCTCCAGAAAGAAATATTTACGCATGGAGGGTTGTATGCTGCATGCTCAAGAGTAAGAAATCCTAAGAATTTATCCTTCGCTGTTAAAAAGGAAAAAGAGGAAAAAGAAATTTTCTTAAAAATATTGTTTACCATGAAATCAGATAAAATTAAATTGAATTAAAGAAATTATTAAAGCTCGAATTAGGTTTTTTTTAAAAAATATTTTTCCAAACAAATCAGTTTATTCAGATCTCGTCGATTGGTTAGCGAAATTGAAAAATAAACATATAGTTTGTAAATCTCGACAAAAATTACTTCAACAATACTAAATACTGTGAAGATTTAAAAAAAAATTCTAGTATTATAAAACGACTAGAGTTACCAATTCTATAGAGTTTCAAATCTATAAAGCACTGGTATACGTCCTTTTGCATTTGAAATTCTCTTTCTGATATCATTCTGAGCCTAAATATGACATTCATTGTTCCAGTGTCTTTAATGAAACCACACAGATCTCATCGTTTGCATCAGGATTATACATACACATTTTCAAGACTACTATACCCGTTCCACTAAAACTTTTGGTGTGACAGAATCTACGCCACCTAAATCTCCAACTATGTATCTGTGTACATTATTAAGTTCAGCTTAGTAAATCTATATATAAAATTCTGTGACGTTGACCGCTCGAAAGCAAATTTTGGGGAGAAGTGAAAACAGGTAAGTGGGTACAAAGTACAATTGGTTTTACTAGGGCGCGTAGTAAAATAGTGTTTATCATGAAGTCCTATAAAATTAAATTAAAGAAATTATTAAACTGTGAACTTGGTTTGCTATATTGAACGAAACGTAGAGTTTGTATTAGGTTGGTGCAAAATAATGACGTCATAATGTCGTTTTTTGACGTATTTTTTGAACGTCAAAAAACGACATTGTTACGTCATTATTTTTGCACCAACCTAATAAATCTCGACAAAAATGCTAGCAATAAATTCAACAATATTAAATACTGTGAGGATTTCAACATATGTCAGCGCGTTGCAAAAAATACAAAACACAAAAAAAACAAAAAACAACAAAAAAACAAATACATATTAATGAAAAAAAGAAAAGAAATGAAAATAACCTTGTCACTGCTAAGTGTTTTTTTTTTTTTTTTTTTTTTTTGTTAAAGTCGGTAATGGTATGATAATATCAGTCGTTTCCCTATAAGGAAACATTTAGTAATCATTGACCGAGCAACCAATATTGCAGATTTGTAAAATTTTTTTCTTAAGACATTTTTTTAGGAAGACAGGTTTCTTAAACCAGTAACTGTTATGGTTCTTTCCGGTATAGAAGTGGGTGGTTGTTTCCTTCCTAACTTTCTATTTGAAGTGGTGTAGAATGTCAACATGTTGGTCAATTTTCATCGAGTGCCATATATATATATATATAAGTTTGGGATCAAATATGGATCAGAATCCGGCAGATTAATAAGACAAAAAATAAGGAAAATTTACCAATCTATTTCCCTTTAATAAAAGCGAAATATATTTGATCGATAAACATTTATTTATTCTTTTTCTTTATCTTATGATATATATATATATATATATATATATATATATATATATATATATATATATATATATATATAAAAAGGCTCAAACACTAATATTTAATTTATAATTTATTATATTGGAATCCTAATAACGATCCAATTCATCAGACCTACAAATTCAAAAAGCATGTTCGATGAATTGAATCGTGATTACGATTCCAATATAATAAATTATAAGCATGAAAGATTAGTGTTTGAGCCTTTATATTAAATTCTTGCTCTGTCTTTACATAGAGCTCTACCCGGATTTTATCACCTTGGAAATATATATATATATATATATATATATATATATATATATATATATATATATATATATATATTGGGTCTTATATAAATACATATGGCGACCTACCAAATTAAATCCATGGCATATTCGTTGATGATACAAATATAACAGATTCATCCACATGTAAAAAAGAAAGTAAATAACAAGAGAAGCATTATTAATAAAAGGAAAAATCCAACACTCAATAATATCATCTATGAACACGGCCATGATGGGATGACCATGTTTGAACAATAAAACATTCCTGTAACTCTAGATACATACATAAAACAGTCCATACATTCAGTTAAAAGTAAAAATAAAATCATCCTTGATAATGTCTAGAAGAATAGCCGAAAGCGTTCGGACATACAAAACATTTGGACAATTTTTCTCGTGTTCTTATAAATTTCTTCTTTTCTGGTCATAAATTATGTCGAAATTATCCGATTGTTTTGTATAAGTATAGCTGAAAACGCTCGGAGATAAAGGACATTCGGACAATTTCTACCTATTTTATGGTTTGGTTTGGTTTATTTTGCTTTACGGCATATCAACACCTCAACGAGTTATTTAATGCAGAAAAGATATTAGGACAGGTTCATATGACAAGAAAAGTATTTTTTGCAAGAAATCAGTTCGTAGATCAGGTCTCATTGACGTGTTTTTGTCGAAAGTCAAATGTATTGTTGGTTATATATATATATATATATATATATATATATATATATATATATATATATATATATATATATATTCGAAATGTATTGCTGGTATTTTTTTATAAAAAATCTATTATACTTTCAGTGTTTTGACTCAAGTGTTTGGGGGTTAACTATTTGCTTATATCTGGTACTCTAACTGATGCTAGCAGGGTCAGAGTGGACTTGGGAACAACAACAATTAAAAAGAGTTTCCACGATCCACAAAACCTTCGAATCAGAGTTCTTGCTACCGGATATATTTTATCCTCAAACCCAGGACGGCTCTTGTTTTGAAACATGAGAACTCTTATGTAGCGATGGAATCATATTTTTAAATAAATAATTATATTTAGGCTCTACTTCTGTATTGAGCACTGTTTTTTAAAAATAATAACAAAAATACTAAAGAACTTTGGATTATTTACCTAGCGAATTCTTTCCTATTTTCTATATATTTATTACCCACCCATATATATATATATATATATATATATATATATATATATATATATATATAAAAAACAAACAAAATCTGAATATGCAATTATGTAGTATTAATGTTAAAATAAAGTCGACGTCGGACGTTTCGGTCTATTTAAGACCATCTTCATGGACATTTTCATTTAAACATAATTAACATTAGAACTTATAAAAATTTAACACAATTGTTAATTATGTTTAAAGGAAAATGTCCATGAAGATGGTCTTAAATAGACCGAAACGTCCGACGTCGACTTTATTTTAACATTAATACTACATAATTGCATATTCAGATTTTGTTTGTTTTTTCTGTATTTTTCTTTCATACTGTCGGATTTATATCCATATATTTGCTTACATATATATATATATATATATATATATATATATATATATATATATATATATATATATATTTATTTTGACGGGAACTGTTTCGAACATGTTTTGTTATATAATATGGACAAGATCTCTCTGTTATTTTTTAATTAAATCTTTCAAATTTCCGCAGAAGTTGTTTTACTTTATCGCTAAATTTGCCAAAAATTCTTATTAAGTTTTCTTTTATATTATTTTCCCGAGTATTTTCGAATTCTACTCCATTTGCTTTCAAGGAACGTTCTGTGAGTAGTTACGCAACTGTTTTTTAATTCCGGTGTTCTCACGTTTGATGGAATTCATTTTCAACGTTTGTTGGAATTAATTTCAACTCCATCAATGTGACGTCATATAAACGTTCAAACCGAATCAAAATCATTTTTCGTTGTCCATCTGAATAAGCCATAGTGGCGAAATGCGGATATTATTTTCGAAACATACTTTCATGAACGTTTTTCCAAATGTCAATAACCTATAACTCTGTCGGGATTACATGCCCTAATTTCTTACAAAAACAACACCATGATGATGACACTGTGTTAATGTCGAAAGTACTCGCAATAAATGAATATGTATCAACATAGTAATTTTCTCTCTTCTTTTAATAAGGATACTAAGAAGCTTGACCGTGAATATGTGAGGATCTTTTTGAAAATAAATAGATGAAACTTGTCTAAATTATTCAATGAGATATGTCTTGATATACAAACATCTATCTATCTATCTATCTATCTATCTATCTATCTATCTATCTATATCGACTTAAATAAACACAATTTGTGTTCATTTTTTTCCTTTTAAGAACCTAGGTAACCTTTCGGTCAACATTTCCTCAGGGACCGATCGTTGGCAGAATTATGGATTTGATCTTTAGATATGCGGAAATTGGAGATAAAGTTGCAACAATTTGTTAAAAACAATTTACGATTAAAATATATACGTAAATTTAAGATCAAGTTGTAAATAAACCAAAAAAAAAAAAAAAAGAAAAAAATAGCGTAAAATAGGAAAAGAGTTGCTCACTGACCTCCAAATAAGTAAAGAGACCGCCAAATGTTTCCTTTTGCTTGCTCTATTTTGTATACGGGAAGCTCTAAGCACCATTTATAAATATTAAGAGCCATTTGTTTCAAACTGCAGCGGTCATCTTTTATTTTTCTTTTATTTTTATTTGTTTATTATGTTATAATATTTGTTATAAATGCATAGCCTGTAATATATTCTTATAATCTTTTTATTTGTTTCTTTTTAAGATAAGTCGCGGCATACAACGATTTTTATTTTAAATGTTCTTTATCAAATGTAATTTATTAAGAATAACTCGCTAAAACATACCATAATGTATTGTATTTGTTTTATTTATTATATAGTGGCATGAATAATTCTAGTTTCTAATCTATTTAAATTTAAACGTAACATTTCTCTGTTTTTCGAAACTGGAGGAAGGTTTTAGAGTTGTAATGTTTCTTTGACTAATAACTCATTATCGCAGGTTTCTTTATCTATTATTATTATTAGTATTTATATTCAAAGATTCTTTTAATAACATTTGGTGTGATTTTAATTCTTTTACATTTTCTTATTTATTCATTGTAAAGTAATGCATTTCAAATTTGTTGGTAAAGCGTTTTTAATTACGACGTTATTTTGTTTCGTTTGCTACTAGTCAATTTGCTTTTATTATTTATCTTTCAATTATTTAAAAAACAACAACAACAACAACAACAATAATAATAATAATAATAATAATATATATATATATATATATATATATATATATATATATATTTGGTTGGATAGGTGTGAGTTTGTGACCTTGAGTTTCACGCTTTAGCGATCGTCAGACAAACTGCTCTATCTCTGATATTGAGCGCTTTCTAATAAGTACCGCGCATATAATATATAAATAATTATACATATATATATTTATTTATATTTATATACACACACTTTTCACACACACACACACGCACACACATATATATATATATATATATATATATATATATATAGTTGTATATTTAGACAGCAATCCTTCCTTTATGCATGTTTCATTAAAAACGACAGACAAGGTACTACGGTTAAGCTTTTTATTTAATTTTTCTTGTGTTCTAACAAGAGCTTTCTTTTCTGGACAAAGGGTGTGTAAGGGCTCCATTAGAAACATACTAGCAGAAAACAGAAATATATTAACTGCATCCACCTGCAAAAAAAGACTAAAAATAATGGAAGCTTTAATAATAAAAAAGAAAAAAAGCCAACTCTTAACAATATTAACTACGAACAAAGCCACAATGTGCTAACCGTATTCGGAAATTAAAAACATCCCTACCACACACTAAGACATACACAGAACGCACACACTCAATTAAGCTGAAAATCGAATCATCCTTGATAATGGCTAAAGGTATAGCCGAAAGCGCTAGGAAATATAAAACATTTGGACAGTTCTTACGCACCCTTTGTCCAGAAAAGAAAGCTCTTGTTAGAACACAAGAAAAATTAAATAAAAAGCTTAACTGTAGTACCTTTCTGTCGTTTTTAATGAAACATGCATATATATATATATATATATATATATATATATATATATATATATATATATATATATATATATATATATATATATGTATTTGTATGTATATATATATATATATATATGTATATATATATATATATAGGATTTCCAAACATGTATTCCCTCTTTAAATGACAATAAATGAAGTGTTTATTGAATTGCAAATAAGATTAAGGGTTAAAATTAAGAAGTTTTAATGTTTATTGATTTACCAAAAAAGATTATCGGTTTAAATTTAATATTAAATGATATTAAATGCATGGACCTGAAAATGATAAAATTCAAAGAATTTATAATTATTTACCCACTGCCCCACGCAGCAAGATGTGGCACAAGGCCGAGTTTTAAAGTGAGGTATCCGAGCCCGTAGGATCGGGCAAAAATTCCCTATAGACCACGTCAAAACGGAGTCAGTTTCCCGAGACGAGACTTTGCTCTTCGTCAGAGCCTTGTCTGGGGGATACCCTATTTATAAGAAGCCAAAAAATAAGTACATTTTGCGAGGGAGAACCAAGGTAGTGGGTTATTCTTAAAATGGTTTCGATGAATGAGGTGCGTGATATTATTGAATGGATATCAGCGCCGAAACAAGAATCGTTTAGTCTGTTGCATTTACTTTCGCACTAACGTCTATAGGAACGGTTTGAATAATCTCTTCTACTCCTCCATCTATAGATTAAATAGCAGAGAGGACTGGATCTTTAGCAGAATTTCAGATGGTAGAGAATGCAACGCCAAACAATTCTTTCCAATTGATAGCTAATAAAGAAAAGGAATCTATGGGGAGTCGTGAGAGCTTACCTCTCGAACGGAGATGGCATTGGAACATATTCTTCTAAAAGATTGATCTCTAGACATCTTCTCTTCAGTTTCATTGAGCTAAACCTTCGGCTATCCCTTTTTAGTGAATACATGCAAAAGTTTAGCGTTACATTGACCGATGATGACCTCGCAGATCGAAACGGAAAGTGACGAGGAAGTAAGTCTGGACTTTGACCGCGTTAGGTCGGAAACTAGGAGAAGAGTTGAAAAACAAAAACAAAAAACCACAAAAAAGCACAAAAACACAATAAAAAAAAACGATGAAGTAAATGAACTTTTGAAGATGTCAAATAATTTAAACGTTAAAGTGTTATGCCAGCAAAAAAAAAAAAAAAAAAAAAAAAAAAGTTTGTAATCGTGCGAATTGTCCATCTTTGGATGGAGAAAATAAAACTATGAGATCAATTTAAATACAAAATTAATAGATTGAATAAAAATAAGTACCTCCACAAAAGCAGGAAAAAAATGATAACTAAGGCTGAAAATGAATTTTTTAAAATGAAAAATCTTTCTTGAAGCTTTTATCTTAGTTTTAATTTCAAGCTATTGGATTAAATTTATATACATTGTAACCCGGATATAAGAGACCCGGATATAAGAGAGATTTTCTCTGGTCCCAAATTAGAGCCTGTATTATTGTATATATAATAGACCAAACCCGGATATAAGAGAAACCCGGATATAAGAGATTTCTTTTCCGGTCCCGACAACTCTCTTACATCCGGGTTACACTGTATTTCTTATAAGCAAAACACTTTGCTGTATTTCAAAAACTAATTTCAAATGATGGAAAGAATTTATTTTTTACTTTTTATTTTTGCTAAAATAGCTGATTAGCTCCCTTTTTTAAGTAATCTTTCATCGCAATGTAATTCTCTTTATTAAAAAATATATGAGATCTACTTTTCTGAAACTTTATTTGAGGAATATTAGCCGATTTAGAGAGTATTTAATCTGATTTGAAACAAATATTATTTACTTCAAGTTTAAAATATCGCAGAAATGCATTTTTAGCCTGAGAGTAGCTGTGTTTTTAACCTACAGTACCTGTGTCGACGTGTTTGACAAGGTGATGACAAATCTAATGTTGTTCTACGGAGACTTTATCTGTTAAACACAATTGAAGAACATGAAGTGGGCGCCTTTTTATTTAATTGTTAAGTGCGTAGTATTTTTTTAAATTTAGGAAAATATTCTCTGTAATCTAATATTTTAATGAATTTTAAAAAATTTGGTTTTAAATTTACTATAGTCATTGCTCTTATTTTTAATAATGACGTGTATGGTCGACCGTACTTACAAAAAAGGCACGTTTATATACGAATAAAAAAAATTCAAAATTATTTTAAAAATATAGGTGTTTGATGATTCGTATTAAGTTTTTCTATTTATGATTAGTAAATATAATGTTCACTTAATAATAGTATCATTAAAACCGCTGAAATTAATACAGAATTTAAAAAAATTGAAACTTAATAAATTTTTTAATTAGAATGTCAAAAAATGAAAACAATTCTTGTAAAAATTCATTATTCATCAAAAAAAAATTCTGAAGACAATAGTGTCCTTTTTTTTAATAAAAGCGATTAAAAGCTTTTCTAATTAAATAATGGCATAGTTTTATTGTAATTTTTAATTTACGATTCAGAACAGATTTTTGGTAAATGGCGTTTTTATTTGAGAAAAAGAAATTGACGATTTAAATTCTCGCAATTTTATAAAGTACGTGAGATGTAAAAAAAATATTTTTTCCAAGATTTTCTAAAAAAAACATATTTGAAGAATAATTTAATTTATTTGTGAATTAGTCCTGAAAATTTCATTAAAATCCGACAATTATTTGATTTGTTTTTTACTGCAAAAAAGACGGTAATTATTCTAATCTTTAGTCCCCCCTACCTCCGGCTGACGCAAGAAAAACAAGATGTTTAACCAATTTATTCAGTCAGTTATGCGTGATAAACTCTTAGGCCATCATGTATCTTTTGATACATGGCTGACGAGGCAGATTTTTTCCTTCTTTTGCCATTTCTTTCTGCGATAGACCAGTTGTCATCCAAGGCTATAGAAACCGGTCTGTCCTGCTATTTACCCATGGGGGTGGGGTGAAGAGGATTCATACCATTCCCATGGTTATTAGCACGTAAGTGAATGTAATGGATTCGACTAAAATTCGAACTCGGCTCTCCATTACTCTACGTGCCTCCTCGAAAGGGATAAAAAGGATTAAACAATTTAATAAAGTAGTCATAAAATCATTTGGTCTTTCCTCATAAGAAATATTTTGATGTAAAAGCTTTGGGGCTTTTTTCATCATGCCCTTCTTTATAAAATTTTTGGAGGTACCTAAAAAAAAAACATTCGATTTTAATTTCAATGTTTTAAATATAATTGCCTTGTAATGTAATAAATGAAAAAAAAAACTCTTGGTTCAGAAAAAATACAAAAATATACTGATATTTAGTCTGATTTTTGGAAGCAGGTTTGGTTGGTAAGTTTTCAGCACCTCCTCGTACACGCTGCAATTATATTTTCGATTTCGAAAAACACCTAGACTTGAATTTTCTTTGGTTGCACATAAAAATTACGCTTGATCACTTCGATGTAGTGTAATGTTTAGTAACATTGTCTCGCCATATCAATTACTACTGAATAGTGAGTTTGAACCTCACTAGACGCTCCATAATTTCGGCCTTGTGCCACATCTAAGCTTCCCTTAGTGAGTCAGTTAAGTGCCATACGTTTGGGCGATCATGTTTCTTTCGATTCATGACTGGCAGTACATTGTCGTTACTTTCTGTGCTAGACTGCTTGTCAACCAACGCTATAGGACGCAGTCTGACCTGATATTTAACCCATAGCTGGGGGATTCATACCTTTGCTAAAGGTAAGTGAACGTAACGAATCCGACCGGAATTCGAACTCGGTTCTCCAATTTCTCAATCCAAGGCGATATCCATTACACTACACATCGTTTAGTAAATCGCCATTAAGCTATTTACATTTAATATAACAGTTAACCATTTGAGTCCTGCATTCCTGATCAATTTTAAACCTTCTTTCTGAGCTCCTGAGTCAAAATTCACAAATAATTGGTATGTAACAATTCACGGTAGATTATACTTAGCAGGGAGAAAGTATGATTGCATGTCTTGTCCCTGATTGCTTCTCTGGCAGCCCAGGTTAAGATTTTGCACGTTTTATTGTAAAAACGATTTTTTTTATCCAAAACACCTGCCCAAAACACAATGAAAAGGTGCGGACATAGTGTTATAACGTTCAATGGCATAAGAACATTACGGCTTTTCTGATTGGCTCTTCAAAATAAGACAACCAATAGTAAAACACGACGCAAGTGTTTACCAACCGTTCAACCGGTGGTTGGGCATTAAGTCATTTTTCTCTACCACTGTTCAACCGGTGGCTGGGGATTATTTCATTTTTCTCTACCACCGGTAAAGAGGTGGCCAGGGCTCAAATGGTTAAGCTATTTATGTTTAATATTGTAGCAGGGCACAAATACTGCTCGTTTACGGGGTTTGAGCAAATATTACTCTGCCAAATACATCAAATTATACACGAAAGGTAATTTTTTAAACTATTTCAGAATACGGGAAAAGGTAAGGCGATTTAAGGAAGAACGTAATGTAAAATAACATTGTGATGAAGAAAAAATAAGGTGATTTTGAAGATTGAAATAGAAATAGACCACTGTAACCCTTACTTGTTGAACAAAGAAACAAGAAACAAAAATTCTATTAGAATCCGTGCGGGAGTCTGTTCTATATAGGGACAGCTCTGGAAAGAAGTAATTGGAATGGAAATTCTACCTTACAAAAGGAGTACGAAAGAAATGGGCATGATTTGATTAGGTGTACGTGGCAAAACTGATTCGAGATGTGAACGTCCTAACTGGTGGAACGAAATAATGTAGCTCGTTTCAACATTTGGAGTATTAATAGAGACATAGTAGTGAGGTTAGGAACGTTTCATCTGTGGGGAAACCTTTCATTATTCTATCGCTGTTAATATGGCAAATGTTGAAACGAGCAACATTAATGTCCCAGAGATCTATATAGAGGGCCCCCCTGTATATACAGCTTGAAATGTGAAGTTGAGAGTTACCACGAAAGAGATGATTTCTACGTTCACTATCTATCTATCTATCTATCTATCTATCTATCTATCTATCTATCAGTGCATATCTATTTATCTCTGTCTATCTATCAATATGTTTCAATTTGTTCATTAGATATCTATCTCAGTTTCTTCATTATCGCAATTTCTATCTATCTATCTATCTATCTATCTATCTATCTATCTATCTATCTATCTATCTAATTTTTTAATTATCTATTTTGTTTTATTTTTTCGCCTTTGATCTGAAGAAGTCTAATCGGTGAAATGCACTGTAGGATGTTTTTTCGAAACATCATACTTTCATGAACGTTATTCCAATTGTCAATAATATATATATATATATATATATATATATATATATATATATATATATATATATATATATATATATATATATATATATATATATATGTATGTATGTATGTCATCCTAAGCAAAGCAATAAAAGTCAGTAAGACGCAAGGGATTACTAATAGTTTTCGAATATGAGAAAAAGAACATATTCAGGCGCAAGAACAATACATGAACAGGATTTAAGAAAACAGGAGGAAACAAATGACATTATATTTTAATGTTTGAAGAGCAAAATTGACGCAAAAGAGAGTTCTCCGAGCGAGAAGCGCAAAAGAAGACACTGTTGGTATAGAACTTACGGTTACATCTAGCCATGATAAGAAATATAATTATCTTAGCTGACGGCAGTGTAGAATTGAAAATAAGAAACTGCTTGAATGAAGCTCTTTATCCGAGAACTGCAGAAAATATTATGTCCATAGTTACTGGATCACAAGGAACGACACTATTGGATTATTGCTTAGTGTTCGAAACACTGAGAAAGAACTGATATATTGGTAACTATGAATTTCTGGGAATGATAAGTGCACGAGCGATTAAAAAAAATAATTGTATATCATTTTACAATTAAACCATAGCCACAGGATACAAAAAGAAAAGAAAAAGAAAAATCATAATAAACATTAAAAAATGATTTCATATTAATTATAAAAAATGGTTGTAATAAAATTTTATTTATTTAAATATTTTCATCCTTTTTAAATTACAATCATTGAACGTATGATATCAAAGGTTGTGTCTTCACAGAGGACTTATTCATCCTATACAGTGAGGCGATATTGAGAGAAGTAAAATTCCTATTAGGATTCATTATTGAAATGACAAACTTTAAGACAACATAAGATATACAGATAACACGGCGTTGATATGAGAAACGGAAAGGAAAACTACAAAATCTCCTACAGAAGGCAGTGAAGGAAAACTAGAAGAAAAGATTAAACATCAACTGCAAGAAGACAGAATGCATTGGTGTTAGCAAAAAGGATGATCCCAAAATACAAATTAAACATCAGAGACACCAAAATCAAACAAGTACAGAAATTTAAATATGCCGAATGTGTTTTAACAAAGGACGGAAAATGTGACACTGAAATCCAAAGACGCATTGGGATAGCCAAAGATGCCATCCAAAAGCTAAGCACAGTATTAAGAGAGAGAAAAACATCGTTAGAAACAATAAAGGAACAGGATTTAGGAAGATTATATTTGGGAAATGTTTTAGTAGAGGACGGATAATGTGACACTGAAATCCAAAGACGCATTTGGATAACCAAAGATGCCATCCAAAAGTAGAGTACAGTGTGACCCCCGTCTATTAGCGTTTCAACATTCGCGGTTTCACACATTCGCGGATTTTTCTTTAGAACATATGTACTTGTTATTCGTGGAAACCCCGAATATTCGCGTGTTTTTCTGAAGTACAAATTATTCGCTGAGAACTCCTGCGGTTCGCCTATTTTTTCGATAGAACATATTTAAAATAATCTTGTTTTATTTTCCTAATATTTAAGTGAATTAAAACATATAACAGTCCATTTTTATGGTAAAAAATGCCAGAATTTTACATCTTCATTGTAAAAAATAAACGCAAAAACATGCGTACTGCTTGGGTTTTGTTCTTTGTTAGGTGCTGCAGCTGAGGTCTTAAAAGTGGCTAATATGCTAAGTCTAGGGGCATCGTCACAGTTCTGTTTTTAGAAAATGTTTAAAACTTTATATTTTATGTCTTGTTACACATATTTTATACAGTATTTTCAATGGTTTCGATCTATGCTTAATTAAAAACAGTTATTGTACATATGAAAGAAAATTTACGCTAAGTGTTTGGTCACCAATACTATTTTTAAAGAAATGTTTTTAAAAGGGTTTGAAATGCTTCTAAAGTGTTTAAGTTGAAAGTTTAAGGCATCTGGGGTTTTAACAATCAAAATAGGTACTTATAAGCACTTTTAACGGGGTTACAAGTATTCGCGAATTTTAAATATTCGCGTCCGGTTCTGGCCCCTAACCCTCGTGAATACGGGGGACTCACTGTATTGAGAGACAGATAAACATTATTAGAAAAAAAGAAAAGAATACTGAACTATTACGTGATGACTGTCCTCCTCCATGGCAGTGAATACTGGACAATCTCTTCAAAATCCTTCCGATTCATGGCTGACTAAGCAGATTTTTCCGCAGTAGGTTGCCGTTTCTTTCTGTGGTAGACGGGTTGCCATCTAAGGGTATAGGATCCAGACTGTGCTTATATTCACTCTATAGCTGGTTGTGGGGGAGTACATAAGTAATAGATTCATACCTTTTCCAAGGGTATTTGGGTGTAAGTGAGTGTAACGAACCCGATTGGAATTTGAACCCGGCTCTCCTATTTCTCATTCCGAGCCGATATATTAGGTTGGTGCAAAAATAATAACGTAATAATGTCGTTTTATGACATTAAAAAATACGTCAAAAAACGACATTATTACGTCATTATTTTTGCACCAACCTAATACATTCAGGTACGAAACTTTTTTCGTTTTTTTTCTTACACTGACGTTCACTCCGTAGAAGGTAATAAAATTAACCAGCTGCAAAAATTTAAATATCTAGGAAGTGTTTTAACAACAAACAAAATATAGGACTATGAAATCCGAAGGCGTATTGGGACAGCATTAGTTTCCTTCTAAAAGTTAAACTGTATTAATAAACAGAAAAAAAAAACTCCGTTAGAAATAAAGAAAACAGTTCTGAACTGTTACGTAATATCAGTCCCCCTATATGAATGCTGGACAATCTCCGCGCAGATAAAAAGGAGACTTGAAGCAACAGAAATAAGGTTTTACAGAAGGATACTGAGGAAACTATGGACCGAACATTTGAGCAACGATGAAATTTTATAGAAAATGTAAACAAAAAGGTCACTTCTACTTAAAATAAGGAAGAGACACTTGAAATTTCTAAGACAGATTATGAGGAAAAAGGACTTGGAAAATTGGATACCCACAGGACAGATTGAAGACAAGAGGGAGAGAGAGGGGAGGAAACAACGCATGACCTATCTAGGATGGTACAGCAAGGTTTAGGAGAAATAACACAAATCAAAATATATTAATTGCTACAAATGACAGGGAATTGTGGAGAGCCATGATCGCCAGCGATCTGAAAGAACACGGTACACAGAAGAGGAAAAATGCGATCAAAAAATGTTTTTTCTTCTGTGTGTCATGTCTCTTCATTCAGGACATGGCGATCATGGTCCTCTACAGCTTCCTTTTCTTTGCATCTTTGTCCCGTTAACATCCCTCCCAGCTCTGCTATACATTTACATAAAGTCGTTAGGTAGATTATTCGCTTTTTTCCACTTTTGCTGTCGCTTTCGATATGTCCTGTGAGTGTTAACGTCTCCAAACCCTCTTTCCTCAATATGAAATTTCAGCTGTCGCTTTCAAATTTTAAGTATAAGTACCCTTTTCGTTCCCATTTTCCTAAGAAGTAGTTCTTATTGCCCACATGTCTTTCTGTCTTAGCGTGATGGTTAACAAGCTCAACTCATAAATTAATTGGCAGGGGCTATGAGTATAGTCCTCCCTCGCACTTTCACAACTATTCTTCTGTGCCATAAGATGATTAAACAAACATGGTTATAGTTTTTTGTTGTTTTTTGTTTTTTTGTAACAATAATAACGGAAAGATTGTGTAGCTTTCGATTGCCTTCTCCACGGCTTGAATTCGGGGATGTTGGCAATTAATTTAGGAGAAGCAAAACTCTGAATTCAAAACCGTACAGATATATGTGCACTGTCTTTTTTCTCCAGCTATGGGTAAAATAGTAGAGCGAGCCGGATTCTTATCGAGCACAATCAGAACGGTCCTGATTTCAGACCTTGACGAAGGCAGTAGAAAAATAAACTATTATCTTTCTCCTCTTATGACCAGGGTCCCCTTGTAAAAAAAAAAATAAAATAAAAGTAAACAAGACTAATAGCAACAACAACAAACAAAATGATAATTAATTTTCTTTCATAAACCCAAATTGCGAATGGCATGAATCAGAGTCTTCCTACCCCCACCTATGGGTTAAAAAGGAAGGTAGAATAGACTCTTTAGCTTTCAGTGGCAATCAGTCTCAGTCAGTTAAGTGCCATGCGTTATTCACGCTTTGACGATCATTCGATTTTCCGTCAGTAGGTTGACATTTTTTCAGCGGTGAACTGGTTGCCAGTCAAGGCTATAGGAACCCATCTGTCGTGCCATTGATCCCATAGCTGCGGAGAGATGGATTCATGCCTTTCCCCAAGGGTATTTGCGCGTAAGTGATCATAACGAACCCAACTGGAATTCGGGGGTTGGACTTAGATAAAAACTTTTATTTAAACGTGGTAAAACTAATTTTTTTTTTTTTATTTTTTTTTTAATTTAATTTTTTATAAATTTTTAATTTAATTTTTTTAATTTTTAAATTTTAATTCTTAATTTTAATTTTTAATTTTAATTTTTAATTTTAATTTTTAATTAATTTAATTTAATTAATTTAATTTAATTAATTTAATTTAATTTTTAATTTAATTTTTAATTTAATTTTTAATTTTAATTTTTAATTTTAATTTTTTAATTTAATTTTTTTTTAATTTTTTAATTTTTAATTTTTTAATTTTTTTTTTATTTAAAATTATATAAAAATCACATACAAGACTTGTGCCGAAAAGTTCACGTCCCAACCCTTTAAAAATCTGATGTTTGGTCATTCGGTCAGAATTTTTGGAAGTGGGTTGAGGGGAGAACTTTTCAACGTCTAGTAGTATAAAAATAAACATTGTAACTGTCCGTAAAAATAAACTCACCGGCTACTCTCACTACTGAGATGT